TTGAGACTGCGAGCTTGACTGCGATAACAATCGTTCGTCAGTCGCACAAAAAATTGGAGCTCGCGCGAGTCGCGTTAATCATGTTAGCTTTGAATAACAAAAACGTGCGGTCGAGTAAAACGTTAACGTGAGACATTAAATGATTGAATGGTTAAGAGAGACGCAGCGTTAATTATTTCAGCTTTGGAAGCACACACTCGTTTCGGCTGAACGACAAATTGCAATTTTTCCGCCGCGAGAGTCTTTAATTTCACTACGCGTCAAGTAGCGAACGCTTTCGAAAGAATTCCCGGATTTACAAATAATTATCACCGGCGTTAATTGCCGCGTTTTGCAGCCGCAACAAACGTATTACGTAGGCGGGAAAAACACGGGTTTGATGTTATCGGGAGAGGTATTTACGTTCGCAAGTGGATTAGGTCAATGCTCGGCAAACATTGCGATATGTTCCGCCGATCAATAAGCCGGCAAATATACAGTGGCGCACGAAAGCATTCGAACGGTTTCATTCGACTTGTAATCGTACCGCCGTTCGTACACCGTAACGAACCATCGCGCTTGTATATGTGTGCGTGCGAGGCACGATATGAATGATGTCGACATCGGAGGTAAGTTTACAATTCGTTGCGGCACGTTGCTGCAAATCTCGCTTCCTGAGTTATCGCAGCATTACGCAATTTATCCGCGTTTAATAGAGCTCGAGCGAAGACAAACAAACAAACAAATAAATACACACACACACACACACACACACACACACACACTCTTTGACGAAATTTTTCCTCTGTACATTCCGTGATTTCATGCTGTAGGTATGTGCTTCTGAGATTTCAAGAATATGAAATATGACTCCGTTAAATATTACTCCGCTAAATATTACTCTACAGAACATTTAATATTCTCAGGCGAGTTATATCTCTCACATATCTGCTTCGCTCTCCTTTGAATGTTTACGTCGCTTCGAGTAGCGTCGCTGCTTTGAACTTTCATAATGCGAGGTCTCTTCGGGCGGTGAGATAAAAATGAGAGAGGTATCATCAGGTGCATCGTCGGGTTGAACGTTGCAGCTCGAGACACCGCTCTCCGAGTTACATGACAGCGAGTAAAGTTCGACAGTACGCATACGCGGGATGGTGCGTGCCGGGTGCGTGGGGTCGCCGCGTGGCTTTATCGATTGTCGCGCGCGTACGCCGGCGACCCCACGGGGAGCTCACGTCGGAGGTACGACGAAGGAAAGGAGGGAAACCTTGTAATGAAGCAGTTGCACCTGTTACACTCGAGCGAACACCCGAACACTGCTGTCGCATCATTAATGCGCGCGTTCTACTTGTCGCGTATAAAAGTGCGCGTTGGGAGCGAGCGGCGCGCGCTTTTCCACGTCTAAGGGAAAACAGAAGCAGGGGAGCGCGATCTACGTGTCTGAGAAGCGGAAGGATGCGGATCCAAGGAATCGATCTTTTTTCTTCCTCAGGGAGAACTCGCCGACTCGCGTTCGCGGCTGGCTCGATTCGGCGTGTGATTTACTCTGTGATCCGCGCAACTTCGATTTTTCCTTTGCAAAACTCATCTTCACGATTGCGCCGTAAAATCCGATTGCGTCGTACAATCTGATTTTAAAGATATATCAAATGACAAAAAATCAACATATTTTTAATTGCAGCGTTCTTAAGGAATTGTCCTAGAACGAGCAACAATACTCAATCAGTCGGTCGACAAATGTGTCAAGAGGATTTGCTGCCATCTGCTTCTCAACTATGAATTCGCTATGCTCGACTATGACTTGATGTTGGATTTTTCCCCGTCGGAATTTCCTCGTGAACTGTTTAGTTGGGATTTTAACATAATTATGCGTTAAATATACTATAACTATATGTTCAATACACATATACATTTTGTAACGTGTTACGTGTTACGTGAAATACGCTTTCTGTTCACTATCTTGTTTTTTTCCGCGGGATATATATAGTTGATTATCGACGAAAGGGTGAGGAGGCATTCTCTTTCCGCAAAGGTTGCGGTGTTATAACAGGCAATAATGTTGCGTTTTATATAATCGAGTCGTGTCGGGAAAACGCACTCGAACGTTCGGAAAATGGCATGGAACGCGAAAGGTGTGACGAAATAAATGGCACCGTTTTACCGGTGCATTGCATGACGCAATCGACAATCCGTGACGTAACGATTGAATTAATTCGTTTTAATCAAGGCAGGAAAATGTAAGGAAAGGTGCGAGGCGTCGCGATTACAACTCAGGCTGTTATTACAACGAATTTCGCGCGATGAGCGTGCGCGCACTTTCGCAACGCTGTCCCGCTTTTCGCAACATTTACGCCTCCGGAGGAGAAGACAATGGAATTCGCGACTGCTTCGTGTTGCTCAAGTTTACGCGAAAAAATCACGCTTCAAAATCACGAGGCGCACAAACCGTGTCTCACGGTCATATCTTTCAATGGCAGATTCTCGAAGTGATAATGAGTCGATTTTCCCCGGGACCAATTTTCATGTAGACCTAAGCAGTCGTAATACGCGTGCGAAATGAGTTGCATCTCTCGAGGAATTTAGACCTAAATATCCCCTTGAGCAAATTGCGATTTCTCGCTAAGCCCCGTGCAATTTTGCAAATTTATGCAAAAACAAATGCGCTCTCTTTCTGGTCCGGAGAGTTTTCTATTTTCTTAAGAGGGATATCGTTATGCCGTATCTCGTTATTTAGATAGTTAAATGTGTTAATAGCGTTGATTAGCTTGCTAATAAATTGGTCGGATTAAAATCGCCGCGGGATCGTCCGCGATCCGCCGGCGAGTTTCGCCGCGCGCTCTCCGTTCCGCCCTCACCCGCGAAGAATCTGCAAAAACGGTTTCTCTCGCCGGCGTTCTTTCGCACGAGACTCGCCGTAATTTCATATTTATACTCGGTCATTTGCATGACGTGCGGCACGTGTGCGTGACGACGTGGCCGTCTAATTTATCACGTAGGATCACACGTACCGCCGACCGAATTTCCTTTCATCCACGCGCTTTCTCCCATCGTCGTTCAAAAGCGCAACTTCGCGGATCTGAGCGCGAAGAATACGCTCTTCCCTTCATTTTCTCCGTCGCTTCGCGCGATAAGAAAGGCACTCGCAAGATATATTACCGTGTGAGATATAACAGAAGATTCAAGATCGGGGAAGGAAGAGCAATCAAGTGGCTGTTAATTAATGGCTGTTGATTAATCGGGTTAACTCGGCTGCACCTCGGCTGGCCGTTGATCCGCAAGTTGCCGCATATTTATTAAACAACTACATTTGTCACGACTGATTCTTCCGCAGGGAATTGGAAGAATGAGCGATAAACTGGCGACGAATTATTACGGCGGTAGAAGGATACATCGTTGATAAAAAAAAGAACGAGCTGCATTTCATGTATTCCCCGTCTGAAACTTCCGCGCTGATACGCATGAATTTATGGAGCGACTTGACGTAATCAGACCCCAATTGGATTCCAATGATAATCGCACGCGCGTCACGAGCTGTCCGTACCGTAGGATGTGTCAAGAGCCGCGTACTTTCTCCGTCGCTTGTAGATTTTCCGATAAAATTGAAACAGCTTTTCCCACTGCGCGGGTGCTTCACGGGAAACTCCCTTTGAAAATACCCCGATGCTATCATTCGACGTGCGCGGAGTCCCGGTCTTAGACAAGATAGATTGCTTTAACTCATTAATGTCGGCTAGGACAGAAATTTCGCGTTGATTTCAATGTTATGAATTTTTATGAAAATGCTCGAAATTTTAATCCAAAGTACATTACTAAGGGTTTTCGAGGTCGCTCCTTCCGAATCCGCTGCGAGAATAAAAAAATGAGTGTTTGTATTGATTTGTAACGGTTTTCTTTCAAAAAAGGCGAATTTTTCTCGTCAATTTTTTTTTAAATCGTGGGTTTCATCTTGATAAAAATGTTGGATATTACTGAAAAGTACTCCAATCGAGACTTGTAATTTGAAAAATACATATCTGGACGTAAAATTTTCTATACTTTTCAAATCTGTAGTAAAAGACATAAGTTTTGCACCAAAAAGATCAACGTTGGGCCCCGTTAGGCCCAAAAAGTACATCAGACCCAAATTTGGGGCCTACCACGTGAAAGAACTCGATCAAAAGGACAACTTTCACTTTGGATAATTTTTCATAAAAATGCACTCATAACGAGTTACTCGACCGAGTTCCCAAGGATCCGGCGATATCTATGGTGATACATGCATATATGGTCGCCATATTGAAATTACTAAAGTGTACAAAAAGTACAAAAAATTTCAGAATCACATATATTTGAAGTACAAGTCTCGAGGACACGATTGGAGTACTTTTCAGTAATATTCAATATTTTTATCAAGCTGAAATCCATGATTTAAAAGAAAATTGACGAGGAAAAATCGCATATTTTGGAAGAAAACCATTACAAATCAATACAAACACTCATTTTTTTATGCGATTCTCGGAAAGCGGATTCGGAAAGAGCGACCTCGAAAACCCCTAGTAATGTACTTTGTTATTAATGTACTATGTATCGTAGTAATGTACTTTGGATTAAAATTTTCGAGCATTTTCACAAAAATCCATAACATTGAAATCAACGCGAAATTTCTGTCCCAACCGGCATTAATGGATCAAAGCGCCGTTTTCCTTTGCATTCTCGTTTCACCCGTTCCCCACAATTCCCGGTCTTTTCATCCAACAATTTTACAGCTCCCGCAGACGAAGGAAAAGTCACTCGCAGGTATCCGAAACCCTCCGTCACAGAAATTGCCCGCGAGCTGTTTAGCTTTCGATAAAATAGAAATCTAACAGAATCCCAGCAAGAATACCAACAACGTCCAAAGTTCGTCGACGTGGCCCGACAATCGCACTTCACCCGCCACGAGCCTCGAGGGTCGTCCTTCGCCGCAGGATTTCCCGGGAGGGCGGGGGAACGAGATCGACCGCGCAAGTAACTGACTCAAGTGAACGACAATGGTGACTTACCCGAGGTGAGCGACATCGTTTGCTGCCTCCGTGACCTGGAGTTGTCCCGCTTGCCAGCGGCTGATTGCGAGCCGGAGACTTGAAGGCCCGGGGCGCTGACGGCGCGCTTGGGCCCGCCGATCGTGCCGGGCAAGTTGTTGGTGTTCCTGGCGAAGCCGGGCGGTCGATAACGAGCGGACTTGACGTTGCTATGCGGCATGAAATGGTAGCTGTGCAACTTGTGCATCGGCGAGGACGACGATGCGGACGCCGCGGACGACGCCGACGCCGCGTTTAGGCCGGCGGGCACGCTCGACGCCGGCAAGCGTGGCAGCGAATTCGTCGCCGCGGAGATCGCGGACTGCATGCCACGTGGAAGGGTCGTCGCACGTGACTCGCCGCCGTACTCCAGCTCGTCCTCGGTGTCTTCGTCGCCGGCGGACGCACCTGCCGACGAACGGAGTCGGAGATCAGCCTTGGGGCGCTTCGCGACTGCTGATCGATCGATCGATCGACCGTCGTTCGCCGAATCGATCGCGTCGCGTTGATTCAAGCTGTGCTCGTGGATTGCCACGCTGAGATCCCGATACGTGTCAATTTGGCAAATAATTGCATTATTTCGGTGTCTCGGCCACTCATCCCGTGCTGAGTCTTCAACCGAGTGAGCCGAAGTCAGTCGCCAAAGATGAGGCGAATATATTGGAATTCACGACGCGCGTTCGCTCGGCTCTCCGGCTTTCATTCGTCGCACGCGCTCCGTTGTGTTTTCAACGTCAATTAACGAGCGACCCGGCGATATCGTAGCGCTGACCGCCATGCTGGTCAAGTGTTTTAACTCGTGATCGGATTATCAAAGGCACGGTGGATAAAAGTAATCGGAGACGCGTCTAGTTTCCACCTGGTATCAGCTGTGCGCGCGATTCTGCGAATGCGATGGATCACGCTTTAAACGTGACACAATGCCGGCGACCGACGACCATGTGAACCAACGTGTTAGTTCGCTCACGATCGCGAGGAGGATCGCGAAAGATAGCGCTTCAGACAACGAGCGGCTGTTGCAGCAGGCGATCGCACGCCGATATCGCTTCGCGATGGAACATTTGTCGCGCCAAGAGACCGCGATGCGTGTTATCATTCCTCCCCTCGGCCCTTCGTCGTATCGACTGATGTTTCTTCGCGTACAGTATCGACGCGACCGGCGCGGCGGCATAATCTTTCTCGTTGATGCGCGCACGTCAACGCACTCGTCGTTTATTCATGAGTATTAACGTATTCATAAGTTGTTATCCTCGTCCGTGTTTCTCTCACGACGCGACGAGAGCCGGGAGGAGGAAAAAGCGCGTCTGTAGAGAGGAAGTTATAAATAAGCGTTTAGCAATCCTCTCCTTCTCTTCCTCTGTCGTTCGCGCGCACGTGTTAGGAGTCGCTGCGGCGTCCGTTAATTCGGCTCGTGAAGGATTTTCACCTAACCGTGAAGACGCGCGCGAATCGTCTCCGCCTCGTGAATTTTTCGACACACACGTGTAGCGAACTTGCACGCACCGCCGAATTGTTTCTCCACGCAGGCGCATGCTAATATTATTTCACCGATTGCCGAATCAACGGGCTTGTACTTGCTTGCTCAACACGGAGAGGAGCGAAGCGAGACAGAAGAAGAAGGGTGAAGCACTCGGGGTTGCGTGCGCGCCAAGAGGAGTGCGGCGCGGCCAGTTGCTCTTTCACGCTACCTAATTTTCCCTACGTCTTAATTTACCGATAAATACAATTAAATCAAAGAGCCGCGCGGCGCGTGTGCGTGCGTGTGTGCGTGCGTGCGTGCGTGCGTGCGTGCACGTTTGCGCGTCCGCTGGCTTCTTCATTCCACGTCAAATCCGAGTCCGGTATTATCGGGGCCGATCTGAGCGTGGCGCGTGTCCGCTCGCTGCAGCAATAATTGCACGGCGGGAGGAAGAGGGAAATGGAAAGAACGAGAAGAAGAGGAAGAAATATTACGCGTTCAAGACCTCCGCGCGCGCATGCTAGGAGGAAAAGTAGGAATAGGAGGAGGAGGAGGAGGAGGAGGAGGAGGAGAAGAAGAACGAGATCTGGCGCTGTAACGCCAATTACCGGCGTTTCCGCGATGTAATACGATTCACGGAGAACGCTCCGCGTGGAGGAGCCCTCCGCCGGAGTCACGCTCGACTCACCTGACTCTCCCCGGGTGTTGGCGTCGGGAACGGAAGATCTCCTGCGGTTGCTCCAGATCCTTTCCTCGATGGAGCCGCCGCTGCAGCCGCCGCTGCCGCCGCCGCTGCTGCCGCCGCCGCCGCCGCCGCCGCCGCCGCCGCCGCCGCCGCCGCCGCGCCGCCGCTGCCGCCGCCGCCGCCGCCGCCGCCGCCGCTGCCGCCGCCGATGGAACCGCAGCTTCTCACTCTATCCAGCTGCTCCCTGGAGAAGCTCTTGGGGTTGAACAGAAGGTCACCGGCGCTGCGTCGCTTCGCCGCCATCGCCAAGGCACTGGCACTCGCACTAGCACTGCCACTGACGTCACCGGAGCACGCCAACAGGCTCAGCTTCGTCCTGGAGTCGGCGGCCATGAGCGCGGACTCGAAGCTGCCGCGCCAGGAGAACCTCTCGTAGTCGCTCGCCTCGCGTTCTTCGCCCTCTTGGCCGGCCGAGGTCGCCGGGTGGCTGTTGATCAGCAGCAACGGGTCGTGCGACTTGGACCTGGGCAGTTGCAGGTGAGCCGACGAGGGCGCGTTGGTGGAGTCCGACGTGGAGTCGTCGTCCTCGGTGGTGGACGCTGACGACGGGGTACGGTGGTGCTGGGAGTACCGTCGCCAAGAGTTGCTCGAGTGATGTTGCGCCGCTGGCCCGCCCTCGGAGACCTCGTGCATCAGTGCCACCAGCCGACTACCGATGTGGTGCATCACCTTGGCGATCAACGGCGGGCTGCTGTGCGGCGTGGAGTTGGCGTCCGAGCTCACACCGTCGCCCGCCATCTTCGTGAAGCTCTGCACCAGCTTCTGGTAGACGAACGCGGTGTCTCTGCCGAGGTAGGACGGCTGCGGCACCGCGGAACTGCCCGCTACGCCCTTCACTTGGTCCCTCTCCTTGTCCAGGAGAACGTTACCGCCGTCGCCGGACGTGGTGTCGAACTTGCTGATGATCTGCTGGCAGCTCTGCGAAATCTGCTCCTGCAGAGCCGAACGGCGACCTCCGGCGGCGGCGCCTTCCAGGTCCGAGCTTGTGTAGTCCGAACTGTCGTACGAGTCCGACCACGTGTCCTCCGAGCTGAGGTACTCGACGATCTCGCGCACCTGCTCGTCGCGTATGCCCGGCACCGTCTTCATCAGCCGCGTCAGCTCGTTCTCGAAGTACACCAGTTGCGGCGGTTTCGTGCGGTTCTGCGCGCAGAGTCTCGCCTTCGACGTGTAGCCGGTGAGCCGTGGACTAGGCGCCGGGGAGGCGCCGCTCGAGTTGGCTGCGCTCGCGTTTGCGTTCTGGCCGTTCGAGTTGGCCACCATCGTCTTGAAGAACTGCCGCATCTTCGACATCATGAGATTCGTCTCCTCGTCGCTGGACCAGTTGTTGAAGCTGTCCTTGCGCGAGAGCGAGGCGTTCGCCAAGTGCGGCAGGCTCGCCGCGTGATTCACCGGGTGTTTCGCAAGGTTGCTCCTGTCCGCGACGGAGAGTCCCTCGACGACGCTTTCGCTCGCGTCGCCCAGGAGATGGTCGTTGTTGGTCTTGCTCAGTGAGCGGTCCACACCGCTCGCTTCGTGGTCGGTTTCCGGGCTGCTCGGCTGGTTACTTTCGTCCGGTAGTTTCTGATGCTGCAGGAGGTCGTCGCAGCTGCCGACGAAGCCGGAGTCTCTCGACTGTTGCTTCGAGCGCTGACTGTAGCTCACCGAGTCGCCTGGGGTCACCTGGACGTTCCTCGAGGAGTCCATCTGAGACGACGAGACGTTCGACGTGCTGGTCAAGGTGGACGGCGACGAGGATGAGGACAAGACCGATTCCGGCTGCGGAGTCTTCGCTCTGTCCGAGTCTTCGGAATTCATCGCTTCGTTCTCGTTCTCCACCACGACCTCGCTCATCAGCGCCATTTCCCGGCTGGGTTCCGGTGTTTTGTTGCGATCGTCGGGGACGCGTGGGCTCTGAGTCCCGGCCAAGTTCCGTGGTTTCTTCTTCTTTCGTTTCACCGTGTCGAATTGACCGTCGGTGCCGAAGACAGCGGTCTGGCCGTCCTCGGTGCCGTCGGTCTCCGTGGACGAGCCCTCGGACTGAGTCTCCTGCGTGTCCTGACTCAGACTCAGGTCCTGCAATGAGTTCTGCGAGCTGAGGTTCTGCGAGCTCTGCGTGAGAGCCAACAGATTGTCCAACGAGGAGCTGTGCGACCTGCCGGTACCTCGAGCGCGAACCAGTTTCTTCCTCCTCTGCGCCTCTGGACTGGGCCTACCCTCGGAATCGCTGCCCACCGAGCCGTCCGAGTCTCTTCTGTCTTGATCGAAGCCGAGGAACTCCGAGAGATAATACTTCTCTAGCCTGGAGGAATTCAGGAAGTTGTCTCCGGAGTTGGATCTGTCCTGATTCTGCCCACTGCCGTTCGCCTCGTCCTGCCCGAGCGACTCCAGTCCTTCCGAGTATATTGAAGACGTCTCCGACAGACTGTCGACCTCGCGTGAACCCATGCTGGAGTTGTTGCCGTCGCCACCCAGGCCGAAGAAGAAATATTTCTCCAACTCGGAAGCCGAGGGCGGTCGCGGCTTTTTCGAAGGACTTCCCGCAGCCAGGCTGCCGGGTTCCGTCTCGCTCTCCTCGCAGGACTCCTCGACGATAGTGTGCAGGGTGAAGTCGATCGCCTGTCTGCGGTAGCCACGTAGCTCCTCCTCACGATCGCCGAAGTTGTTCGCTTCGTCTTCGGAGCTCTCCTCCGTGGCGGTGGTCGCACCCGGCTCGTCTTCGTCGTGCGACACTTCCTCGACCCAAGAATCGTCATCGGCGAGGCCCTCTTCGAGTATGATGACCCCACCGCTGGCCGAATTGTCGTCGCTGGACTGCGACGAGACACGTGGACGTGCACCATCACGACTATCCGACACCGCGCGTTCCTTCGACACGTCCTCCGCACTCTCCGCGCGGCAATTGAGCCTCGACGAGTTGTTCCCGTTGTTCTTCACGGACACGTCGTCGCTTTCACTGGCACTACCCACACTCAGACCACTGTCCACCTCGGGTTCGGACTGATGGCTCGCTGCGGCCGTCGCGGCAGGTAGTCTCTTCACCATCAGCGGTCTACGAGGACCCTGGCCGTTCTTGCGCGGTGGCTGCTCACCCGCGGCTTCCAGCGCCAGCTGGAAGTAGCCAGCCAGGCCTTGTCCAGCCGAGTGGATCTCATCTGGCTGGAGCAGCGTGGTGGTATCCGAGGTGACGACGCTCACCGGCTGATACGAGGCCTCCTGGGTGATCATCACGAGGCTCCTGTACTTATTGCTGTTGCCGCTGCCGCTGTTGTTGTTATTGTTATTGTTGCACGCCGCCGAGGGAAAGTGCTGGGCGTCTCTGGCAAGATCCTTGGCCAACGTGTCAGCTGGGAATCCATTCTCCTTCCGAGTGCACGGGCGTCGCTCGACTGAGCGAAACCGTGTCGCTCCCCCCTCCGCGAGGCTCTCACCATTACCACCACCTCCACCACTACCACCATCACCGTCGTCGTTACCATCACTGCCACTTCCTCCCACCTGACCAGCAGCACCGGCGGTCGTGATCTCGCCTCTCACCGGGCCGCTGTCATGCGCACTGTCCACCTTGCCGACACCCTCCGCACTCCTCGACGTCTCCTGAATCTCGCTGGATACCGCGTCGCCTACGTCGGCGACTCCTACCAGCTCTCCCATCGTCGTCGTCGTCGTCGTCGTCGTCGTCGTCGTCGTCGTCGGGTCGTTGTCTTCCGCGCCATCTTGCTGCTCCGTTCTTCCGGCGCGACGACGCGTGACCAGCCGATCGGCGTCCCCGTCGTCGTCGTCCTTCCCGCTCACCGTCGACTCCATCATAATCGCAGTCGTCTTCGTTGTGTCCGCGACGTCGATCGAATTCTTGTCCGGTGACCACCCGCTGGCCGTCCGCTCGGACTGCACGCTCCGCTTGGTGCCGCTCTTCGTCATCGTCCTCGTGACCGTCGAGCTCCCTTTGTCATCCCGATTAGATCCGTGGAGATGGTAACCATTCGGCCGGACAGCGTCTCCCGTGGCGGCGTTCTCCGACTTCTCCCTGCCGATTCGGTGCAGCAGCTCGCCGTTGATCGCGGCAATCTCGTTGCCGAAGCCGAGCGACGACGACTTGGCCACCGCGGTCAGCTCGTATTCGTGCAGCTCGTCGCTGCTCACCTCGCTGCCCGTGGCGTTGCTCTCGTTGCCGATGGAACTGTCGACGGCCGCGTCGACGTCCGCGTTGACGTCGCGATCCGCTGCCGATAAACGCGGCTTATCTCCCCGCCTCTCGCAATCGTTGTCTTTCCCGTTCGTCGTGCGCGATCGCGCGGACCGCTGCTCGTTATCGTTGTCCTTGGGAACCGGCTCACCGGAGATCTCGAGAGAATCCGGGACGATGGTGGAGTCCCAGGCGTCGCTCAAGGGCGATCTTGGCTCGTCCTGCGGAAGCTCCGGCGTGCTGGAGCGGTCGTTCCTCAGCGTGTCTGTTGTTCTCTCTCCGCGGTGAATTTGTACCTTGGGGACGGGACTCTCGTCGGTCTTCGGCGTGATCGATGTTGCCGGTGGATCGATGCTGTCGGGGTCCAATGTGCGGATGGATCTCAGCTCGACCCGATTGCCGGAACAGTCGTTGCCGTCCGCCAAGTACATCTCCTCGGGGATAGATCGATGCTGCAGCAGAAGAGGAGGTCTCTTGTCGCCGTGGTCGACCCCGTCTCTCCTGCCGCGACTTCTTCGTTTGTCGCCCGAGCTGACCACGTGCTCGTTCAACGACCCGCCGTCATTTTCAGGCTCGCCGCCGAAGTTGTAGATCTTGGAACGGCTCTTCGGCGCTTCCAGCCTTTTTTCGTCCCTGCTGCTCTCCTTCCGCTCGTTCTCCAACAAAGCGTCCTCGTTCAGCAGCCTCACGTGCTGCAGCACCACCGGCTCTTCTTCAGGAATCGCGGTGACGCGCTTCAGGGTCACACCGCCCTCCGCCGCGGAATCCGAGTCGTCCTCCTCATTGTCCTCGATGTCATTGTCGCTGGTGAGCGAATCATCGTTGACCACAAAAACTCTGGAGAAACGGTGGGAGCTGGAGTCTTCCTCCAGATCGCTGCTGTCAGCTGACGAGCGGCCAGACGAGCTGCCCGAATCTTCTCGCGAGTGCTGGAACATCCTCTGCGCACTCCTGTCGAAGGATGAAGACAGCGAATCCCCGCAGGCTGCCACCACTTCGTTCTCTTCTACCTCCTCTGCGTCTTCGTCATCTTTCTCGCACTCTGCTTCGATATCCTTTGTCTCTTCAGGTCTTGCTTTACTTTTCGGGGTGGAAGTAGCAATGGATTCACTCAACTCCTTCATCGACGAGTTCTCCTCCTTCAGCGGCTCTTCCGTTTTCGACGTGATCTTAGCGTCGTCTCTCACGTCTTGGCCGTTGCTCTGTACGTTGCTGGACTCGTAGTTGGTCGACGGCACCGCCGCGCTCTCCGTGATCGGCCCGTATAGTCTCGGGGTCATCACCTGATCCGGTTGGAAGGTGCAGGTGGTCGGGTCGAAGGCGCCAGTCAGCCGGGGGTCCAGGCGGGCGCCGTGAAGCGGTTGGTTGAAACGAGGGTGCCAGGCGAACCAGGGTGCCGCCGGATCGCCTCGCAGCCTCAGAGTTCCCGGCTCGGCATGGCCGTCGCGACTTATCATGGATGATGCGGCCGCCGCGAAGTCGCCGGTCCACAGAGCTGCCGGCACCGGCACCGGGTATGGGACCGGGACCGGTATGGGCACCGGCACCGGGAGTACGTTCGCGCTTCGGGAACCGCCGCAAGCCTGGATAGAACGACAACATGATGGCTCGCGACTGTCCGCCTTGCGAAGCTGTCTCTCTCTCTCTCTCTCTCTCTCTCTCATCTTATTCCAAGTTTCGCAGTCTCTGACCGTACCGTACGCGACTTATTTTATTCATCAGCGAGAGACGTGGTGTCTTCACATTTAAACGAAGTCGAAGATGACCCGTCTTCTAAAATTTCCCTGGCTTTCTGCTGTTTTATTTACGAATCTTTGGTACTCGTGCGTTGAATAAAAGATTTTTCTCTCATTCTTCGTACTGCGTGTACTGCTCTTGTGTGAAGGGCATTTTTAAGTCTCTCGAGATATTTGTGAAAAAATAATGCTTCATTCGTTTCGTCGTGAAATCTTTCAAAAAAGCGCTCCGGGAAAATTATAATTTTAAATCTTGCTTCTCGTAAAACTGTCCTACTATCGAGCGACTGTCAGCGAGATGTGGATTAACAACTCGAAAACCGACGATGACCATTCGTGCTGTGCGGTCGTTTATCGGTCGTCATAATCGACATGAGGCGTCGCTCGATACGAGTATACGCGTGTACAGCTTATTGACAAAGTATGACCGTGAATTCCGCATAGCCGCGCGACTCTCTTCGCTAGTAGAACGTGAATGATTAATTTCGCTGGCGATGTGTTCGTCAAACGGAAGCAACGAGCGGCACTCGCGTCGCGGTCACACGAGTTGCGTTCAACGGCAATTTTATCCCGCGCGCACGGGAGTGCATATCGCGAAGGAGAAACTTTTTCGCAGATCCCGCAACCTCGAGATTCCGCAACCTCAGCAGAATTTAAATTTCAAAATCTCAAAATTTAGAGGATATCGGAATTTGGAAATTGCACAATTCTCGTCAGAATTATTACCGTCAGTTTTCAAAATGCAATTATTATTATTATTATTATTATTATTATTATTATTATTCTCTTGAAGTTCCTTCAAATTTGCCGAATCGGAAAGTCCCGGGATCTCTAGCCGCTCTTGATATACTTAATACGTATGTAATTCGATAAGGAAATCGCGGTACCTGGCAAGCGGCCGAGCCACGTCCCGGACAGCAACTCCAGTCTTGAGCGACGCCGTGGTCCGCGCCGACGTGGTTACCGGCGCCGATGGCGATCGCCGGCAGCGGCAGGCTGCCGCTCTCGAAGTAGTCCCAGTCGCAGTCCTCGAGCGACTGTGCGTGGCCGCCGTTGCGCGGCAGTCCGTTCAGGTAGGACGAGCTCGAGCAACTGCTGTCGGCGTCGTCCTCCTCGCGGCCGGACGACGAGTCGGAGCTGATGAACACCAGTCGCCTGTAGTCCACCGCTGGTGGCTGTTCCTGGCCTTGGCAGCCACCGGACGGATTGGGACTACGCTGTCGACCGCCGCGTCCGATCAGATGCAAAGTCTGCAGGCTCTGCAAGTCCTCCGTGCCGCAGCAGGACCTCGCGTGCGACCTCCCGCGTCGTCGGGAACCTTTTCGAAACAAACGCGAAGTCTCTTCATTCACGTCGACGAGACGCTAATTCCCCGCTATCGAGCGGCGCTGATGATGATTCAGCACCCGAGCGATAAGATCGGGCAGATAAACATCGATCGGAACACTCGGAATTTTCCGATAAACTTTCCTAATCAAGCCCATCGAGAGTAGTTGGTAGTCGTTATCGTTTTTATCGATTAGATACTCGATGCCTCATCAGCCCGATTTGGGAATGGCGTGAGCCATTCGAAGTTTCGCCTTCGGCGAAATGCAACAAGAAACGACTGCCTAGCGGGTGATCGTTTCTCGTAGAAGCAGCCGAAGAGATGACATATCTCCTTCGTTCTCCTTCGGTATCAACTGTAATTTCAGATTCCATCTGAAATCGCACGGTCAAGCACGGCGTTCCAATAAAGAGCCGGAAAAAAACGCGGAAAAGAACGTGGCTCCTCGCAGCGTTCTCTCTCGCCTCTTATGCCGGAGGCAATGGACAAATTACGACACTGTTAGAAGCAACTTGCAGCTGGATGTGCGTTTAAAAAAAGAAACACGCTCGCTAATGTCCCTCCCGGCTGCGGACTAACTGCTGGATATTACGAGCGTGTGCACTCGCACGGAGCTAACGAACCACGCTGGCGAACTCGGACTTCCGATAGTTACAGCCGCGAGGCACGACATCGATTCATGGATTCGCTTTCAGCTGTTGATAAGTTGACGTGAACTTTCGTGTGAACCTTCCGTGAACGGGATCGCACGCTGTGTGTGGGCTTAAAAAAATTCACAATGTGCGTCGTGGATCCAGCCGCGACCGCGGAACGCGGGCCAGGGCTTCGCCCTGGCTTTCTTCGCGGCAAATGATTCTTTGAGAATTTTCGATTTCGTTGATGAATAAAATTAAGGATAGAAAGTGCTCCATGTATTCCAAGTTTCGTCATCGGACAAGGATATTTTCTAGCTTGTCAGTTAAAAACAGGATTTTTTAACCATTTCGAGATTCGATCGATTGATTTCGCAGAAAGAGAGAGAGAGAGAGAGAGAGAGAGAGAGAGAGAGAGAGAGAGAGAGAGAGAGAGAGAGAGAGAGAGAAAGGGGGAAGTTAAAAATTAGAAATTAATGAATTATACATAATAAATGAGAAAGAAGTGAATTTGAAATTATAAAAATTAAAAATAACATTTCGGGATTCGCCGCTAACATTCTGTCGCGGCGATTCTCCGTTGCTGTCGGGCGGAAGACGCGTCTCGGATCTCGACGGTGAGCAATAAGCGAATTATAGTTGAAGTTAGCGGTGCACTAATGGTAGCGGCGATAGGAAAACGGCAGAATAATGAGGCGGTGCAATGCGTCGCGCGCGCAGGACGGTTTCTTTGTCGTTCCTCGCTTCACGCTCACGCGTGCGTCAGGCACGTAGGAGGATTGGATTTATATCTATTGTGCGGTCCAAAACAATGCACTTTTAGCGCGGGCGCACGCATTGCACCTTGGCGTCTAAATCTCTCTCCTCGGTCACGTCACACCGCCTTGGCTTGTCCGCCCCCCGTGTCTTTTTCATCGTGCAGCTACACGCGCGAAATAAATGACATCCTTCGCGTTGAGTGCGCGAGTCCGCTTCGCAGCTCCTTTTACAGCAATCGTGAAGTCGCAGCGCCAACGACCGAGCGCCCTTCTTCTCCCAGAAAACTCTCCTGGAAACGCTCCCCGCGAAGAAGCCTTTTTCGTCGAGTCTCTTTGTCTCGGCTTTCGGGCAGGAGATTAAAAAAAATCGCGCGAGCATCGATGATCTGGCTGATTTCTTCGAGATTGCCAGGAATATCCCCAATCTTCGCTTCGCCATTTTTTTAAGTCGCGACTTATTCGTTAAATAAGCGATGCGAGAAGAAACGGAACACAAGACAAGACAAGACAAGGACAAGAAACGGAACGGTCAAATGTCAGCGATTCATTATGAATGGCGACGGGCGCGGAAAGGGGCACGTAAGGGCGGGAGGAGGGCAGAATCGGGGTCCGCTCTGCTGGCACGCTTCATGCTCGCTTTTTACGCGCCGCTGAATTACCTGGTCAAAGGCACGAGGGGGGGGGGGAGGGCCCCACGTCGCGTCCGCGCGTATGATTTTTCCGCGAGTCCCCTGCTGCCCCCGAGCAAGCCTCTCCGATTGTTCCTGTGAATGGCGTTGCGCTCTGCGCGAGATTCCGGCGCGAACGGAAAGAGAAGCGAGAAGGAAAAGGGAAAGACAGAGAGACAGTAGAGGCACGCCGGACGAAAGAGAGAAGAATTCCAAGACGCACGAGAAGGATTTCAGGCTCACGGCGAGATTAGCCGCTCTAGCTCGATTTTCACCGACAATTCGGAGAAGATGGAATATGAAGTCGCGAATTTATCTATCGCTCATGAATATTTCAAAAGCAAGAATACTCGTCAGACAGAAGATCGTAGACCTATCCGATATTAGCGTTAATAATTGCGGCTCGCTGTCGCGTCAGGCGAACGTCGAAGATAAAGCCGCGTTTGAAACGAGCGTTGCAAATTGCGGACTTGTGTGGTTCCCACGCTAAAACTTGCGGTCGTCCAATTGTTTTAGGTGAGCTGATAATCCGACTTTTCGGAGCGTCCATGCGTCTTTTCACGTGGTCAGGAGGAGTTCGTTGAAAGCGCGCCGCCGGTCGATTTTCGAACGTTCGACCGAGTATATCCGCGAGGTATGTCTGTCGCACTCCACGGTATATACTTCATTGATTATAATCCCGCGTGCACGACATGCGATTCCAAGGAGAAAGCATGAAATTGTTAACATCCCATTATCTTCCCTCTATATTATTACATATGTAACGAGCGGCTTTCGCGTGGGATATATATTTATTTGTTTGCGATTAATCATTCAGGTCTCCTCGTTTCTTCTCAGATTTCACTTCTTTCCAGATCGCGAAATTTTGCAAATCAGACTCTTCGTGTCGAGTTCTATACGTCAACGAGTTTTACGCGAGAGGGAATATCGCCGAAAAATCGCGTTCATCCGTCGACAAAACGTCCCGCTTCAAGTTTCCAACGCGATCTTCGACGACGCTCCGAGGAAACAATGACGGAGTCAAATCAGGTATAGAGAAGGTTCTACTTGGACTCTTTTCGCCGACCGTCCCTTTTCGCTGCCCTCGCCGCCACAACGACTCGACTTCTCTTTGCACGTGTGCACACACACGTGCGCGCGCGCACACTGTGCAATAAATTCAAAGCAGTACACAACCACGCACTATACCACGAGCTCCGCTAAGTACACACGCTGTACTTCTCGCCGCAGCGAGAACTTTTCTTCTCGAGCACTCTGCTATCGATACGCCTGGGCAAAATTAAGTAACGTTTTATTAATAGAGGAGTGTGTATACCTCATGGATCTTTTTATTTCAGGCGAGCTTCTTCGTTATTCGTCCGGAATTATATTCGCGAGAGTCAACAGGGAGTCGGTTGGGCAGTCAACATTGACTCGGGCCCCCTCACTGTCACTTCGGGACGTGGGAAAAATCGGAGTGGTCAGGTGGCGCGCTAGAAGGCGGAGAAGTCGGTCCCTCCGAGCCGATCGTCGCCTCGAAATAAAGGCGGCTTTATCGCCACGCCGAGGCGAAGGCAAGGCGAGCAATTCGCGTGGGCTACCGCCGCTAAACTGAGAGCGTCTACGCCAAGGGGCACACCTGAATCCCGCAGCGTCGGTCACTACCTTACCACGACGCCTATAGCACCGGTTCTATAGTACATCGCGCCGTGTTATACCGGGTGGCAGGCCAAGCTTGGTCGCTTCGCTGATCTTGGTAGCGATAGTTTCTACGGAACTCGCGATTTTGGCGACGTAAAAATTGTCCTCTCGAGGTGGCGGGGGAGAAACGAAGCGTAAGTAAGAGAGAGTTTCGAGAGAGCTATATTCCCGAGAGAAGTGCATTAAATGCATCCGACACTTTGCAAGAAAAATGCTACTCGCGTTTGTCCGATCGAGCAGAACCGCGAGCAGGCGGTTATGTAATTTTGCGATAAATAAAGATAGCGAGCGAGAAGCGCTTCGAGTCTGGAGTACATGACACCACGCGTGATAACGCGCCAGAGAAGCAAGAAATAACGAATTAAAAATATTTCAAAGCGAATCTAAAATATTACCGGTAGGGGTATAAACATGCAGCTTGTCAGATCAGGGTTTTCATTCGGGGCTTGATTCAAATCAAGATTCAATCTCAAATTGGAATCTCTCTGTGAGGGAAAAATGTTCGAGAACGGTTTCAAGTATATTCAGAAGTAATTTTTCAAGCTTACTTTTCATAATGATTAATTGCATAAAAAGCATTTCTCGGTAATGAAAAATGATGAGTTACTTCAAAATTTTTTACGAATCTCCCGAATAGAAATAATTAATTAAATGATCCATTATATTCTCCGTCGTGTTCCCAAGTAAAACCGCATGCGAAAAAATGGACACCTAATTGTTGACACCTAATTTTTCTTTTCGCGTTTCATCGCGTCAGACTCGTGTGTGCAATTATTCGGTGAATTATCCGCCACGGTGATTTCACGCCACTCGGTATATCCGCGGCAGGTGAGCGGACTATAGAGCGCCAGCAGGGAACGTTGTTACACTATTATTCCTATGCTGTTTCCCTGGGCCCCGCTTCGCTTCGCCTCACCTGCTCACTTCGTCCGCGCCACGTACGGACGATTCCGTGCCAAAACGATCATACTCGGGCAAGAAATAGCCGGCGAGATGGGCAGATAGAAGTTTTATTCGGTATCTGGGACGAGTACCTCGGGATCCACGAGCGCAGCGCGCTCGAAACGCGACGCTAACGAGGCGCGATAAATCCGAGCCGCGAAGATGCAAACGAGATATAAATGAAAAGGCAGCCCGGTCGGCCGAAGTAAAAAGATCCCGCGATATGCCTAGAAGTAGCCTCGAACGCGAATCGATGGAATTTCAAGAAACAAAGCGCGAGCCGGGTCGCCAATTTATCGCGGGATCTCACCGCGGGACGAGAGACCGCAGTGACGCGAATGAGAACGATAGACGCCGTAAAAAAGAAAAGAGAAAAAAAATACAACAAAAGCCGTTCGAGTGTAGAAAGTAAGAAAAATCGCGCGATAAAAACGGCTCCGGACAAATGCGATGGAATTTCAAGAAACGCGCAAGCCGAGGCGGCGATTTATCACACAGCTCGCCATTGTCCTGCGGATCTACTCGGCTAAATGAAATGTACCTTTCCTCCTTCTGTGCCTGCTTTATCCTCGAGAGACGTTTCGAGCGGTGTCGCCGCTTTCGCGGCGAGGTGTCTTCGACGGAGGATACGGTCACGCGTTGCATCTTAAACGGCGGCTGATTAATCGCTCGTGGTCCACAGCAAGTACAAAATTACGAAAATGCCGGCGTAGAAGACGAGAAAGTACATCGACAGCAGGATCGTGACCGATAGCTGCATTATTCGTCGCACCTCCATGTTCATCGTAGAGACGGGTGCGTTTCGAATTTTTACGATCGTCTGGATATCGCGTTGCAAAATTGGCGGCTGGTCGGCCGGCCGACCGAGTCACGAGAGCCGACGATGACTTCGAATATACACGTTAAGCGTGTTTTACGCACTATTAAACGCCGAATATATATTCTTTTCGTCGAATCTCCCGCCGAGCGCGAAGCGCGAGGCCGGCGATTAATGCATTTTTTTCGACGTCGTTGCCTCGTCGAAACGCGACGCGTCGGCGTCCGTAAGCTCGGAGATTTCGTCGGGAACGAGCAGGGAGGAAAAATCGCGCTCGGGAGTAACAACAAGAAACTTCCTATCAAGGATCATCGAGATCAAATCGAACGAGTGGATGAGCAACTCGCTGATTACTCCCCCGTTTCTCCGGCGTTGCTATTATTTTCCTTTCGTTACCATATTCGCTCGCGGTGTCGCGTTAATTAATGTGCAACTTTACGAGCCATTGTGCACCGCGCTTTCTACGTATTCCCCGGACAGACTCGACTTTATCGTATCGCGAATTTCCTTCACTCTCCGAAAACGAGTTTGTCGTCGCTCGACCGGCAGCGCGTTTTTCGATTTTTCGGCGCGTCGACGCTCGCACACGACTCTCCTGAGATATACTGGGTGTTCTCGAATCGGGATACCTGCCAGGGGCTTCGATAATCGATCAGCTTATCGCTACGGAGCGCCATATGGCGGTCCTCGTTGCACACGTGTACACGTCACGGCAAATGCTCGTTGAACGGTATACGTATGTAACATATGCGTAACTCGGTGAACGAGCACGGCAAACTTGGCGGATAAAATTGTAACGCGACTTCATGAAACTTCATGCCGCTCGGTGAGGAAAGTGTTTCGTAAAAACTACATTTGCATTTCGAAAATTATGTTTTGCGCATCGAGCCGCTCTCCTCGCGTTACTCTAGACTCTGAATATAAAATTGTACTGCCGTAACTGCGTTAGGAACACGATTCGCTACCCGTAAATAGTGCGCCGATCTTTCGCCACGCCACGATTTGGATCTGGAGTCGTGTTCGGTCGACTAATCAGATTAGTTATTTTCGACCGATAAGCGGATTTCGATCGGGTCGAGAAATTAAATCTGTACCACGCGCGACGTTTTTATCGATATTAATTGAGTCATCATCAGGCATATCGGCCATGTTGCGGGACGAGTTCAAGTTTAAGGGTACACGGAGAGAGATATGCCTCCGCTTTTTCGGGAAAATAAAATCTCGCGAGGCTTTCGCGGTCGATTGCGAGCGATTGTCGCAATAAGAATGAAAACACATGTTGGGAATTTAATTGGCAGTCACGCGAGCACGCGATTGGGCAATTACGGCAATTATCGGCGGCCAATGCGCGGCCAGGCGGTCGCGAAAGCGAAACGATACTTGTTGCCGTACGATAATTGCATCGTTTGCGATTATTAGTTATGGCTGCGGCTCTTGAGAATGCGAGATGCAAATGAACGGATCGGTAATCGAAGAAAGGGAACTCCAAAGCTCCTTCAACCGTGATTATGATTATTTATAATTATTAATTAAGCGATTACGAGGGAGGATCGAGAAAGAACCTCAGCCGATCTTCGATCCCTAATTTTATTTCCCATAATTCCAGTTATAATTATATTTAATGTACACGAGATCTCGTGCATATTAAAATTATAGCTGTGAACGTGTAGTCCAAACAATCACGTCAATCGCTTCGGCAATTACACAATCGTTCCGAATATAATTACCTTGAGCATCGAACTGCCTCCTTCGCCGCAGCATTGTCCTTCCTTGAGGGGGGACCGGTCCAGCTCTGTCATGGCCATCTTCGTTGGTTTCGTCCTCGCCTGCGCTGGTAGCACTGTCGCGCTGCACCACTTCGTCTCCGCCGATCGTCGACGAAACCGCGCTTCCGTTCCCTCCGAAGAATTTCACCTTCCTGGCCAGCTCCGCGTATCCGTGTAACCCGGTTTCGCTCAGCCTGTAAAGGAGGGATAAAACATCGTTAATCCTGGCTCCGAAAATTTTTGCAGTTGTGTAATTGATTGCGAGAATAATTGTGTCTTCTGAATATGCACGTGACTTGATGTAAATTCATCTTCGAATAGACCTAAAAAGGATCCATCTTCATCGAAAAGAAGGACCACGTAAACGAAGGGTCACGTGTCACTTCACAGAAACAAATCGCTTCGCTATCGTTTTCACATCAACCGCTTCTCTCACCTGATGCTTTCGCTGCCGCTGCTCTCGTATCTCGTACTGCTGTTGGACTCCCTTCTGGTTCTCGTGATGGCGTCGCGTATCCTCTGGGAAGCGGAACAGGAGTCTCCTCCGGTTTTACGTGGCAGGGCCGGAGTAGGCTCGCTCTCGCTCTCCCGGGGACTGTATCTTGATGATCTCGTGCTCAGTGGACTGGCTTCCGGCGACAGATGCTGCAAATAAACACGAGAATTTAGGAGACAATTTTTTACGGTATATTTCTACGGTATAGACGTTTCAAATAATATAGAGGACAACAAATATAAATATAATAATGCAGTATGTGACAGTAATACACGAATTATGTATAAATGTACAGTAAGAAATGATACATGAATTGCACTCTCTAAAAAATATTATATTTTGTAATCTTTATTACAAAATATAATAAACATGTCGTCGTATGAATTTTTTGAAACGCAAGTGGAAAAGGAGTTATTAAGATTATATATTAATGGATATCACTGCAAACTTGTTTTCATTAAATAAAGACTTACGCTTGAGCAACGCTTATTCGGAGTGTCGTCGGTGTCGTCTGGATTCGAGAATTCCTCTTTGGAGAACTTTCGCCTCACCTGTTTAAGAAACAATACGCATATGAGATATGCCGTGGCGAGGTTCGCTATTAAGCAACGAGAGAGAGTCATGAATAAATAATAAATAATAAAATTTGTCTACGCGCGCGTGTGTGTGTGTGTGTGCGAGCTGCCTCCTTCTGTCGAGTCACAAATATATAATCGACATTTGCACGTGAGACTGGCCGTTTCCTCCTAGGAGGTTATATTATTAATTATTATTTCACCACTTCTTGCACATATAAGCAGTGTAATAATAACATTTTTGCATCCTTTGCTTCTCGTATTTCATATAACTTGAGTCAAGTTTCTCGTCTCAAAAGCAACATGTTCAAACTTTACCGTAACCGTAACTTTCTCACGACAAATAATCCGGATGTTTCCAAAATATGATCAGAAAAGAGACTCGCAGCCGATCGATCGCGAGAGGTAAAAAATTTAATTAAATTCGTAACCCAAAAGAAGATACACATTTCCGGTGGAAAACAGAATTTTAAATTCGCACGGAGATTCAAAGCTTGAGTAGCTTTCGTCCTTTTCGTACATGGTTTCGCACAAATGTGTCGGATGCACAAGAGTTAATAATAGAGTCTGTTCCTCCTCACACCGAGTCGAGTCATTATTAATGAAAAGATACATACCGCGGTAACACACGGTTTTACCGAACCGAAGAGGAGGCTCGCATTTCGCAAAGGATGCCGGTGACACCTCCATACATACGCACGCGCGCTCACTCACACGTACACGCACACGCGCGCATTACGCCCACGACTGGCCGTATTCACTGACCACTTGGAACTCGTCCAGCCTCTTCCCATAGCCGATTTCCAACAGGCTCCTCCGTTCGCCGGCGATACCAGTGACGTCACCGTCGCTGCCGTCCAACAGACGCTCGGCGGTGTCCCTGGTCTCGTCGTCGTCCTGCTTATCGTTCTCCGCGGATTCGACCGGTTCTCGTGGCAGCAAATGCTTCTCGTCTATCACCTCGCCTACCACCATCGTGTCCTGCTCCCGCCGCTCGTCCTGCGTCCTGTCCTGCGCGACGATCACGTCGATCATCCCCGCGTCCTGGGCGATGTCGACATCAGCTTGAGTCGCGATCTCCTCCTTGTCTCCTCGCGTCGCCTCGTTTCGCTCGGTAGAAACGATCGACTCCTCGCACCTCGGCGACGATTCCTCGTTAACGTCGTTGGCGTCCTTGCCGTCTTCGCACCTTGTCCGGTTCTGTTCGCCAGCGGCTCGCGATCTCGTCGCGCCGCCCACGCCTCGATCCTCCGTTCTCTCCTGCTGCTTGTCCTGCTGCTTTCCTTTCGCGGAGCCGATCGAATTCGCGCTTTCTCTGCCCACGTCCTCGCGACTGTTGTCTCGCCGAAAGATCCGTATGCCCGAAGCCTTACCGCCGCCGTCGTCCTTGTTGGCGGACGGCGAGGCGACGAGCGACGAGGTCTTGGCCTCCTCCTTGGAATCCTTCCTCGCAGACTTGGATGGGTGGCGAATGTCGTCCTTGCTGTCTTGTCGTTTCAGTCGGTCCTCCTTGCTGCGGGAAGATAACAGTTTCGGGATCAAGCTGGGCACGCTTATGTCCTCGCGACTGCGGCGCAGATCGTCGGTGCTTCCTCTGTACCTGTAAATAGGATAGTTTGTTTTCGTATTTTTAATTTATAATCGCTTGAAACGTCTCGACTAGTCTCGCAAATTTAAAAGGATAAAGAATTGAAATGGATTCTTTGGAAAAATACGTAATTTACACGTGATGAAGAAATTAATGTTGGTGGTCCGAGAAACTCGGACGTGAAAAGATAACAATTCAATTCCACGAAAGGGAGGAGGGATACCTCTGAGGAATAAGCGATCGCTTAGACGACTCCTGCGGGCTGCGAATATCCTCGAACTCCTTGGAACTCCTCCTGAAGATAGGAATGTTCGATTTCCTCTCGCCATGCTTCGTCGGACTCGGTTTCGTCTCAGGGGATATGAACTTCGTGAGGATCCTGGGCGGCTTTATCAGCGAGATCCTAGGTGTGCTCGGCTCCTGCGCAGGGTCCTCCTGCTCGTCTGCCCTGTTTTTGATCGATCGTTCGGTCCTCTTAAACTTTATGGCATCCGACGATGGCACTTCCTCCTCCGATCTACCGGCGTTTTTCTCCTTTTTCGTTCGTTCGTTCGTGATAGACGCGCTCTTCTCGATCGCTTCGCTCGCGTCCTTAGAGTCCTCCTTGTTGTTCTCGACGCGATCCTTAGCGTCTGAACTGCCGTCTCGCACGTGCTCGAGCTTCAACGACGTGTTGTCGTTCTTTGAGTTTTCCAACGGCTCTGGGTAGTCCTGATGGCGGGACGGCAGGCTGCGATATATCCGCAGCTCCGGGGACTTCCTCGTGGCTGACCAACGCGTTGGTGGACCTTTTGGGGAACAAGTTGACGTAACAAAATCGTAGTCGCAGGATGAGCGCGCAAATATTCTCAGCTCCAATGTCGAAACATGTGTCTACTATCGATGTCGTCAACGACTAGAAATTCAAATGTATAATATATATGTCGTATAAAAATTTGTTATGATGATTCTTAGTATCAGTTTTACGTGATAAGTCAAGATCTCTCGAAAGAAAGGTCATCTCTCGAGGAAAGTTAACCTACCTTATATTTTATCGGGGATAAAGACGAATGTCCGCTTTCGCGCCGCGCAACACAATGCGGATAGTAAATCGTCATAAAGTATTATAATTGATATTGATTAATAAACGTAATGTCTTCGTTGACATTTAGCTTTCGCCGTCTGTTAATGCGTTTGCGCTTTCTCCAAAGTCACTGATCGGAGATTAATTATCGGCACGCACCATTAATCGTCCAAGCACGTCGGATGCTGTGGTTCAGCGAGTTTACAGAGGCCGGCGACGTCTTCTCGTTCAAAGATTCCTCGGCGACTGGACCTTCGTACATCCACTTGCCGGTGAGTGCGTGTAATTCTCTGAAAATTGAACGGGTTCGGAATTAGGTCGATGGTCGAAATCGCCGCAATGATAGGAAGCGAGGAACAAAGGATACGTCGAGCGCGCAGCGCGCGAAAGAAGCATACCCTCTATTGCTACTCGACCCAAATTCGACGTTGCTGGAGTTTCACTCGTCTCATGTTATGTCGTTTCATATGTTAATACCGCACGTACAGCGAGACTCGCGGAATTGCATTTCAACAAATTCTTACTTGCAATCAACATTTGCAATTTTGCCTCGCGTCGTCTTTTATACATTCATGTTTTTCTTTTTTTTCGTAATTCTTTTGTAAATTTAGAACTCTTAACTGCCCGAGACAAAATCTAAAATGTTGATGTAAAATTTATCCCTTCCTGTCCTGTTTCATGTTCTATTTCCACTTTCAAATCATATCTATCTTATTTTATGCAATTACACCTCGCTAATCGGTTTTCCGCGAGAACGTTCGATGAGGAAGCGAGCGATCGGCCGAACCTCGCGGGAGCGAGGTTTCTTCTCAGAATACTCACGCGATCTTGTAGCAAACGTTGCAGATCCATTCGATCTCCTCTTTGTCGCCGGTGTGGCTCCTGATCTCGACGCGACACTGCCGGCATATCCGATGCCTGCAGCGCGTGCACACCGTGCCGACGTTGTAAAATCTACCGAATGGTGCGCCGCATCGCGCGCACTTGCGTCCTTGATGCGATAGTTCGCCCGACGCCTTGAACAGGCCCCTTCTTCTCAGGTACTGTAGATCAGCCTTCAGCCTCCTGCGAACACAAAGCCGCACGCGGGTTAGTGAAGTGCCCCTCGCAACTGCGAACTTTGCGACTTGCCGCGGTCGCGATCACGACGGTCGAGAGACGGAGGGAGAATTCCGCTAAGTAGCTCTATAACAGCTTCTTGACTGAATAAAATTATCTCTTCAATTCAAGCTATGAAACTAATGATTCGAATAAATAAATTCGAATAAATAAACGATTATGAGGCTGAAACAAGATTCGAGCGAAAAGTAGCGGAAAATAGGAAAAAGGACGATTTCTGCCGCAGGCCGCGAATATTCCCAAAATTCCTTGAAACTCCTCCTGAACAGGAGAATCTCCAAATTCACCAGATTCGATTCTTATCGTATATTTTTTTCCTGCATTCTCAACAATCTAAAATTAGCAAATGAATTTGACGAAATCGTGAAATTGCAAATTGATGGAATCGTCCGTCTTCGACTTTGAAGCAATGCACCTTCAAGTGCGATCGTGCAAAAAAATTCGCCGCGCTAGATAAAAATGTGCTCTTCTTCGATTTTCTTTTTGCTGGGGTTCGCTTCGTTCTCATTTGGATATTTCATCGTGATCAGCAGCTTGCGTGATCATCCCGATACCAGTTAATCCAGTTACAGATCACTCCGTCTTCCGAGTGAGAAGTGGACGAATCGAGCGTACCGTAACGTTATCCGAGCGTTAACAGTTTCCTCGGGTGTGTCGGATTTTACGCGGCGAACGTGCGACGCGCGATTTTATCGCCTAGACTCGTGTGCCTGCAGTCGCGCTCATATATATAATCATTGTTTGCTCCCAACCGAGAGCGCGGCTAATTAACGGCCATTCGTCCGCGCCATTCGTCGCACGTACACACCGGCGTTTGGCGAGCGCGATTATTCATCGAACGGTTGAAATGGACTAGTTTACAAGCCGCAGGACCAAAGATATATCCTCGATCACTACCCGTCTCCCCACGTCCTCGTCTTCGTCTTCGTGGTCTTCGCGGCGCGCGTTAATGGCCGCGACTTACTCACGCAACTGACGCACGTGACGCGCCGTGTTGCTCTAGCCATGAACAACCGTTTCATCACACTTCGACGGCCGTAAAAATCGCGCGGCCAGATTTTCTTCCTCGTCGAGCGCGAACGAGCGTACACTTAGCCGCGGCATTAGCGAGCTTTTCACTTCGCATAAACATGTACGTACAGGCTCTCTAATTAAACACGAAGCTGCGAGAACGTTTGTTTTGAACGCTCTCCCTTCGACGAAAGAGAGACTCGGTAGCAGAGAAGAAATCGCGAGAGACGATACCTGCTCGGCCCGTAGAATTTTCAAACGAACAATCATCTAATCGTCGCATTAACTTTCCCCACGAGGTCGCGCGCCACGAAGAAAAACTTTGACAACTGAAAATCCCCGCAAGAGCGCGAAATAGTCTGCATTTCTTCCGAAGTGTACGAGGTAAAACAAGATAACAGCTTTCGCTCGACTTCATCCATCGCTTCGATGTCCGGACGGGAAGCTTTCATCAGGCTATTAACCGATTAATGCGTTCGTACACTTTATTAGACACTTTCGCTCGCGCCTATGATTAATTATGCACCGAAAATTAATTAATTACGTCAACAAGCGCACCGAGCGAGTGCGAGTCGGAGACGGAAGCGGAGCCTGGGCGAGCGCGTTTATTTATAACATTACGTAATCAGACATTTGCTTCAAATGTCACGCAGCTGACTGCCGCAATTATGCAATTATTCGAGCTAATTTTAATCCATCCCGGCGAGCATGCTCACGAATCCGCCTAATGATTCCTCGCGGCGCGTCAGCGAGCGTCGCGGACCCCAGCCAGGTGTGATCGAGACGACGAGTTTGATCGCGAGGTCATCCTGGCTAAGAGGACGACTCACCACTGACTGCGCCGACGTCCACTTCCTCGAGCAGAGAAACCGCGCGCTCTTTGCCGAGCGATCGCGTGTACGCGATGACTTTAAACTTCAAGCTGCCGGCACAGCGTGTCTGCTCTCGAGCGCGAAATGAGCCTCCGACTAATGTTTAATCGCTCGGAGATCGTGGCCGTAGGATTCGCCGAGGTGGAAAAAAAGAGCCTTCGCGCGACAACGGAACGCAACTGCGACACGTCCGATCGCCGTGGCCGACGACGACAATGACTCACTATCGTCGTATCTAGGCTCCTTTTGTTATAAAAAGATTCGAACGCGTACCACGCGCGCGCGCGCGCGCGAGAGGGATTGCTACACCTCGTCGTTGGTTGCCAACGTCACGCGAGCCGCGCTCTCCTCGTGGGTGTTCCACCAGGTACCTCGTGGCCGGTTCCCACTCGTCGAGCATGAAGAAAAGTCGCGCTAACGCAACCCGCCGCCGAGTTACACGGCCGAGTGACAAAGCGCGACAAGACGCTTAATTCCGTAATAATGCGCCGATCAAACGGACGTCTCATCTCTGGACTCGAACGTCCTCACTCCTCTGCCTCTGCCGTTACTCGTCCGCCTCGCTCTTCGTTTTCTTTCCGGCCCGCTTCGGACGACCGATAATTCCGCGGGACTCGGAATTTCTATTTGTCATTTCACGCACCGCTTAATGAGAAAAACACTCGCGGATCATCGAGTCGTCTGACTCGCCGTCGAACAAAGCCTTCTTACAAAGTAGAATCGCGCGACTCGAGCTCCGTCGTAAATTACAGATCTTGTGAAGCTAATCCTCAAAGTGCCAATCTCGGCGAATTGATTCTCGTTCAGTCGCTTTTTAGCAACTTGCAACAGTATTGGGAAGCTCGTTCGTGAGTGTAAACTGTGCAGAATCTTAAATCATAACAATATTCACTTTAGCGCAAAATGCAAATTAATTGGCAGACATCGCGTTTTACGGACATAAAACGATAATGTACGGCAGATAATAATCTCATAAGAGAATAAAAAATTAATCGGCAAATATGGAGAAGGTGTCTCCTGCGAGCCTCTTAAAAAATATCCAGATATCTATTTACGGCTCCGTTGCAGATGTTTTGTTTATGAAATATAGGACTTGGAAGATAATGAAACGCAGGACGCTCTACCTATTCCAGTATTCTCTCCTTCTCTCTCTCCCTCTCTCCCTCTCTCTCTCTCTCTCTCTCTCTCTCTCTCTCTCTCATCCCTCTCCTCTCTCTTTCTCTGGTTCCTCGCGTCGGGTCAGGTACGAACAATGAATCGCGCGAGGGAATAGCGATAGAGAACAGCCGAGGAGTAGAATACCAATAAGCCGTTGCCGGTCATCCGGCCGAGGAAGAAAATTTCCATACTCGGCGATGCAAGTTACTTCGCCGCGCCGGCGGGGAAGACGCGTGAGCTTATTCGCGAGTAATCTCACGACGCACAACGGCAACGAGGATGACGACGGCGACGGCGACGGCGACGAGAATCCGACCTGTTCGCGTCGATGACACGATCGCGCCGGGGAAATTCGATTCGACGAAGGATATCCGCCGGCAACTGTCACCCGTTCCGAACGAGACGGCGACGAGGAGATGATAAATTATAGACGCGACGACGACGACGATGACGGTGACGAACGGCTGATCGCGCGTTGCGATCGCGTGAATGCACACGCGGCTACGCACCTGGCCGCAGTCCACTTCCGTCTCCGACAAGCCGAGAAAACTCGAGAACAGTCATTGCGCTCACATCCGCCGGGGTAACGACAACGTCTCGAACAGGATCGGATGCCGTGATCGGAAAATGTTATTCGCTGCGCGCACGCAGCTGTCGAAGCTGTGACATTTCGCTCTCGCTTCTGTCTTATGCCGAGACTTTGGCCGTCGCTGTCTTAATGCTCGATCAAACCAAGTCTTAAAGGGACCTTCTTTACACCGATATGATTGTCCATTCAAGCGTCAATTAAAAAGACAAATCAGCGTAGGTGGTTTATACATGAATACAACAAACGAAATTTCTGCATAAATCGCCGATCGGGCACGTAGACGAAGAAACGAGAAGAAGCTAAAGGATATTGGGAAGCAACGGGGATCTGTTTTCCGCTCACACCTAAGTCCCGTTGAGAAGGCAGACGCGTTCGATTGCGTAAAATGTGAGCGCTTTGCATTAATGCGGGATTTAAAGGCGAATAGGCGTGCACATCCGGTTGCTCACGCTGCCATTTCTGAGGAACGAGATACGCTTAAAGACGGACCGTACCGGTTGCGAGCAATCACGTCGGCGCCAACCTATCTAATCCCAATCACGGCAAAAACAATTCCTCTCATTTCACCGGATGATCCTCGTATCATCGAGAAGCAGCCGCTGATGCTGATAAAACACACACACACACACACACGGACCGACTTTGTTTCAGATTCGCACGAGATTCGAGCAAACTCGTGATGAGATCCTGATAGACACCAACGCAAGTTTCGCTCATTAAATCACTGAGTAACATTGAACAACATTTTCCAACAAATTCCGTAGCGGAGAAGATTCCGAATCTACCGCGATCACACCATGTTCACGCTCGACTCCCGACACCTCGCACAATCACGCACGCGAAACAAGACAAGGCAGGAGAGCGAGCGGAGGGCAAAAAAAGAAGAAAAAAGAAGAAGAAACGAAAAGATCGCGTACGAAAACGCGCTGACGGACGCACCATTCGCGCGGGATCCTTCTTTGTGCATTACGTCGCTCGCCGGGCGATCACCCGGACCACTCGGACCTCTCCTGAACCTCGACATTCACTCGACAGTCGCATCCACAGTCTCACGAGCGCACTGCGCACGACGCGCGCTCGGCCTAAGAGTCATCGGCGACAGCCGGGGAACTCTCAAGCGTACCTGGACGACTTTCGCGGCGGCCGATCCGTTCGGTCGGTCGGGCGAACTGGCTCGGGCCTTGTTGTCGAGTCGGGCAGCCAGGAACCCCGAGCAACTTCCGACGCGATCGTCTCCGGTTTCCTCGGTTCCGCGAGGGGAACGCGAGTGTATTCGCGCGCGGACACCCGGTCGGGAGAACACCTCGCGAGCTCGG